GTTCTTACCCAAGGGCCTCCCCTATTCCAAGAAGACGCCAGGAACTAGCTCCCAGGGGTTCTCCTTTGCAGAATACCAAAGTCACTGCCCACAGGAGACTTGGCTCCTTCAGTGGGCCCTGAAGCCAGACTCTAAGAACGCTGCGGAGCTTCAAACTCCACTGATATTACACTTAGAGCCAGAAAGAGAATAGTTCCCACAGATGGAGGGCTTGCTCCACTTATTAGCCAACTCAACTACTTTGTCGTCCTCATCAGTACAGCACTGTCACATCCTCTTCACGCACTTGCTGAGGTTAACAAGAGTTCTGGTTGCACAGTCACCCAGCTGTCCAAATATGGGACCATAAGTCACAATCCCTCCTTCCAAGGAGGCCTCTGGCTCAAAGCTCTACTTCAAACCCTGACTGATTGCTTTATCTACTCAACTCTATGATCCCTATTATTTAATTCTGGTTAACTGGCTAAACTGAGGCCGTGGCTATCAGGCTGGCAGTGCTAAACAATACCAGAAATACCCAGGACATCAGAAAGAAACGCAAGGGGCTCGTCCCTTTCTGTCTCTCAGCTGTGTGGAAATGAGGGCCAGGGATAGGATCCCATGTGCGTGAAGACTGGGACTTTGGCCATGTGGACACTCACCACACACTGCACTGACTGCTGGAAAGCACCGGCTTGTGACTGGATTTAGACACCCATTTCCTACTTCCTCCCCAAAGAATCATGCATCACAGTTCCCTGAGCACAAACACAATGAACAGAATGACTTGCTCTCTAAAGACCATAAATCCCTTAACAAGCTCCCCTCACAACAGAAACCACCTTCCTTCGGACTGAAATTCACTTTCCAACTCTTTCCAACCACTGAGATGCCCCGGGGATGATGCTCTGCCCTTTCCAGCAGCTTCAGGAGTTCTGCACTTTGAGCCAGGTGGAAAGAGACTAGCTACAGTTCCCTGTGGATCTTTCAGACTCAGGAGAAAATCTAAATGGAAGCTCTAGCAGGTTCTGTTGGTCTGTTCCATTTACTACTATGTGTCCTTAGCCCACCCAGGTTAAAGAAGATCTGATTCCTACACCTCACAAGGAGTGTGGCTTGAGACATACTCTTATGGCTTGAGACTCTCCTATGGTGTTGGTCAAAATTAACCTATTTCATCCCTTTCTTAGCCAGAATCAAAACTAACTGGGGCCACAGTGGCACAGCTGGAAGTCCGCCTGGCTTCTTTCTAAACCTACCATTTTTTTTCATGGCACTTGACTTGTAAGTCCCAGAGAAGACAGAGATGAAATAAGGCCTGGGGCCAGGAGTACACTAAGCAAAGAAGACCTTCTCAAATATATGTCTAAAGTCAGTCCTGCTGGAAAAGACAGCAAAGTGGGTTTGGGATTTCTACAACAAGCACAGTGAGAACCAGCGAGGCTTCTGGCCTAAAGAACAGTTCCAACTAATGAACCATAAACTAAGAACTAAACAAAATCAGGCCTTGACTGGTGTGACTCAGTTGGAATATCATGCCATACACCAAAAAGGTGGTGGGTTCAACTCCTAGTCAGGGCACATACCCAGGTTGCAGGTTCGATCCCCAGTCAGGGCACGTGCGAGAGGCAACTGATCAATATTTCTTTCACATCAGTGTTTCTCTCTCTCTGTCTCTCTGTCTCTCTCTCTCAAATCAATAAAACAAAATTTAAAAGAACTAAACAAAATCAGATATGAGCAAAATTCTAGGATATATATTTGATAGCTTTCTTTGTTCCCCTCGTTTTATTGTTTTCATTCCTTACTATCAATTTAAAAAGGCAGTTCTCAAGGTGTACACAACTGTCTCACTCAGGTCGCTTTCCCTAAAACAAGTCTTTTAGGGAAATATTAGGGTCACCCAACAATGTACCTTAGGACCACATACTTTGGGATTAAAGGTCAAACTTTTGCAGAAAAGTGGTCTTAAATAATAAATATAAAAATACAGACTTTTGGGTTTCACCTAATTCTTTCAAAGGGGGACTGGGAAGGCTCATCAAAAACACATCAATTCAGGTATTTCCTATAAATTTTACATTAATATCTAATCCCAATGATTAATATAAGGCAGTGAGCTTTCAGATTTAATTCTTCCACATATATAATATAGGGGACAGTATATACATTTTCAAAATCTGAGGTTTTATTTCCTAAGTAACAGATAACAATATTTTTAAAGTGCATGAGTCAATTAAGAAAAAAATAACAATGGCCTCATTTCAAGTTGCTACCTACTTCCATTATAAAGCTATAGACTGTCTGAGGATTGAGGTTTAATGTCAGAGTCCTGAGGATGTTTCATAGAGCAAGAGAGATTACAATAAAGTCCTTCCATAGCAGCTTCACAACTACCTCACTCCAATGCTGGCACACTGGAGAAGAAAACATTAGAAATGACCGAGGGAGAGGGGCAATACAGTGTGAGTCTGAAAGGGGGAGACCAGGGAACACTTTTATGAGGACCGCCTCCCAGGTAACTCATGTTGCATGAAACAAGTCTGCAAAGATCCAGGAACTCCTGACATAGGAGAGTTGGTGTCTGTGCAGGGAACACAGGCTAACTGGACACTTGTCAAAAGGAACAGAATGGTAAAATCATCTTTGCCTAAAGATTAGCAGGTTATAATTTTTAAATCCATGTGGTGGGGTATACATAAGGATGTTTACTATATCTTCCTTTTTAAATTTTTGCTGAAAATTTGTCATTGTAAAATGTTGGGGGAAATTAACCCTTTAAACATGTCTTCCTGCCAAAACCGGTTTGGCTCAGTGGATAGAGCGTCGGCCTGCGGACTGAAGGGTCCCGGGTTCGATTCCGGTCAGGGGCATGTGCCTTGGTTGCGGGCACGTCCCCAGTGGGGGAATGTGCAGGAGGCGGCTGATTGATGTTTCTCTCTCATCGATGTTTCTGACTCTCTATCTCTCTCCCTTCCTCTCTGTGGAAAATCAATAAAATATCTTTAAAAAAAAAAACAAAAAAAAAAAAAATATTAAAAAAAAAAAAAAAAAAAAAACAAAACAAAAAAAAAACATGTCTTCCTATCTAGAAGCCCCATCTCTCAACAAAGTAGCAAAACCAAACAAAATGAAGAAATTTAAGGACTCGGCCACTCTGTGTAGAGAATTCCAGGCTCTCTCCTATGATGACGTACTTTCTTTCGATTGTTTGTTAATATTTATCTGTGCTCTGGAGGACAGGGTGAGGGTGAAAACAAAGGATTTTCTTTTCATTGTTTGGTTCTGTAAACTTGGACAGGGTGAGACTAAGGAAATAACTACCTCTTAGGATTTGCTGGGCTGTGAAATTCTCAGTAATTACCTTTGCTTCAGTACATAATATTTTGTTCCTACAGTACAATAATTTCAGAAATTTAATATGAGAATAGTGAATGAATTTTAAAAATACCTTCTGTCAGCTATTTGTGCAAATGGAACAAAGAAACCCTGACTGTCAGGGAAACACCAGTGTAGAATGAGATATAACAATATCCAGGACTTCAAAAGTGACCAGACAGTAAGAGGCACACAGAGGCTATGGGAACAAGTCCCTCAGGCTTCCCTGATGCAACAGAACTAAGATCCCAACGAAAATAAGTACAGAGACTCTCACGGCAAAAATACACAGTAAGTTTATCCAGGGAGCTTGCTACGGCCTGGCAGCTCCATTTTAAGAGACAGTCAGAAGTTAATAATAAGCAAGAAAAATAAGCAAGGCTTTGGCTGACTGGAGAACAGCTCAGTAGAAAATTATTTTGTAAAGATTATGTTAGCAAAGGCATGATTCAGCTTTAGTGATGAAAGAGTGGTCACTCAGCTATCTGATGGGATGATGCACAGCAAGTTGGCTTTTCGCTGCCCAAATAGACAGTCACTAAAATAATTTCTAATTTCTTACAAGGTCTATCAATTTTGGCCAGTGTAATCCTCTACAAAATGCACTCATATATAAAATAATGGCGGCATGATGCTGCTCAGAGGACGGGGATGCTATGGCAGTCCACTAATCCCACCCTACTTTGGGCTTTGCTCCCAGGGGAACAGAGGGTGCAGGCTGTACCGCTCCTTGTCCATGTAGTAGCTGATGCTACTACACACCTATTGTGAGGAGCCCTGGTCTTCCATTTCCTGCTCCAATAGGGAGGGGAGGCCTGGTGCGAAGCACCCACACAAGGAAGGAATGAGCCAGAGAAATCATCTTGAAGGTGACTCCTCATTGCAGAAAAAGACTTTGATATTTGGGAATCACAGGACAACTCTGATTGGCTAGTCAGGTCCTCTGTACTCAACCCAGGGCAAATGTGCAGATTTCCTCACAACCTAGACTTCCTCAGAGGGAATGCTGGGGTAGATCATCCAGCTCAGAAGGGGGCAGATTCCTCCCAAAGCATCACAGGACTGGAGTGCAGGAATGGGCACTCATCACTTTCCAGCTTCTCCTAAAATCATCAACTCCATAGAGGAGGCGGCCGCAATGGCTCAGAGCAGATGTAAGTCTTCTAAGAAACAGATGGAAACTGTTTCAAAGACAAAATGAAATGTGCTAAAAAAAAATAAATAAAGTAATAAATAAATCTAATTTTTCTTCAAAAGTCTAAGGCAGTAACAGACTTGACACAGGAATAAGAACAAGGAGGTACTGACAATCACAGTGGTCCCTTCTCTGCCAGAGGCCCTGCCACCCTCCTGCTGTGGTGACTGCTGGCTGCAGCAGCCTGCGGCACTCCTGGGCCTCAGGGTCAGAGTGGGAGAGGCCATCACCAGGGAAACACAAGGTCTGGCCTGGTGAAGAACACATCCGATCAGCAGCAACAGTGAAGCTCATTACCACCCTTCCTAAGAGACTCTGAACATCAAAAGCTTTAAGCCCTCGATGCAAGACACCTAAACACAGAAACTTTGGAAGTCTGATTGGCTTCTAAATAACATTCTTACTCCAAAGAAAGAAAAAAGTGGTGAGAATCTGGATGGTGTTGTTGTTTTTTTTAACGTTCTTTCTAAGATAATACCCCGTCTTTGATTATACAAAAAACAAACAAACAAACATTAGTAACACTTGCCTTTCAAAGATGTGGGCTCTGGCATCAATCCAGTACCTAATTGGCACCCTTTGCCCTTCAACCACGGGTGCCCTTAGTATGGGTCACTGCCTCCTGAAAGAGGAAGTTATGGAGGCAGCTTTTCTTCCCAGAAAGGTTACAGTGACCATCCCTTTGGATTGCACAGAAGTCCTTGCTGTGATGGTGAACACACAGGCGTAGGAAAGGAAAAAGAGGAGGCAAAGAGGCAGAGGCGAGCCCTCAGGACTAATAACGCCCCTCATAGGCCGTGAGGGCTCCCAGCCTGTGCTAGCGACCATGAAGAATTGGCAGGCAGGAATATGGCAGTGGTGAGCGGCTGGACAGAGCCTTCTCCAGCCAGGGAACTGGGCTCCTTCATGGACAGTGTGCTTTCCCTCTCTCAGCACTTGCAAAAAGAGAGTGGGTACCACCAAACGCATCTGCAATAAAGGCTCTGGGAGAGGAGAGAGCAGCAATCCTGTACCAAATACCTATTTTTAGAAGGCAACACCCAACTTGCTTTTAGGCTTTTGCCTGATGGGCGCCTTCATAGAGGGATTCTGCTGGAGTCTGAAGCAAGAAGAGTGTGAGTCATGGACCACAGAACAGGGGCACTACACCACCACCTGCAGAAGCCGAGGAGTGGGCAAAGCTACGTGGGGTCAACGGTCAGGCATGCCAGGCAGGGCATGAGGGTCAGAAGCCTCATGCTCCACTTCGAGCTCTTGCCTGTCGGAAACAAGAGGCACCAGCTGGCAGCCTGCTCAGCCAGCAAACACCGCCTGCCCGGTCCCCCGGGCCTTCAGCTAGTGTAGTAGACGTGGAAGTAGAGAGTCTTGTTGCGAAGCAGGGAGTAGGAGTTGTCAAACTTGAGCAGGTAGATGCCCTCCCCGGGGTAGTCGTGGCTGCCAGCCTGCACGTCTCGGTGGCTGTCCCGCCGGTACACAGGCATGACCTCCCCGTAGCGACCCCGCAGGGAGCTTCTGGAGCCTCTCTCCACATCTCCGGCTGGGACAGGGTCTGCATGAGCAAAACAGCAGAGTGTCTGGACATGAGTTCAGAGAACACAGGTAAGTCCTACATGAAGGTAAGAGAATGGACCCGGTGAACTAGTGGCTTTCACCCAGGGGGGATGCTCTTGCCCTCCTACAGGAATGTGAAAATATCTGGGTGACCCAAGGGTCCAGGAGTGCTAAACATGAGGACAGCACTTGCCTCACAAACTAGCATCCCCCCCAAATGCCAGTAACGCCTCCACTGAGAAACGAGGATTATCCTTATGGAACCTACCTAGCTCCCGAAGTGTCCAGACATTAACAAGGGAGAGAAAGATATTTAGAAGGGATGATTCTCACATCCTTCACTCAACCATGGAACGAACTAGCTAATGGAGGTAGGAAAAGCAGACAAACACACTGCACAGAGTGACCTAGACCTTCCAGCTGGCCTCCTAAAGAGCAGCAAATAAGATATGAGGTTCTCCTCTTCCCTAAATAACTTACGATTTCCCTGCAGACTTGCTTGTTCACAAAGAAGCAAGTTAAGGAATTGATTTTAAGATGATACAGGAAAATCGAGGACTAAAACTAATGCTTAAATTTATATTATAGTCCCCACCCCCCAAAGTGCCCCAGGACCATCCTGAGAAGGTATTGCAAGTAACAACTAGAATGGAGCACAGAGACTACTTTTAAAACTGCTCCAGGCGTAAAAAAAAAGCAAACAGTAGCCCTAACCAGTTTGGCTCAGTGGATAGAGCTTCAGCCTGTGGACTCAAGGGTCCCAGGTTCGATTCTGGTCAAGGGCATGTACCTTGGTTGCGGGCACATCCCCAGTAGGGGGTGTGCAGGAGGCAGCTGATCGAGGTTTCTCTCTCATCGATATTTCTAACTCTCTATTTTACTCCCTTCCTCTCTGTAAAAAATCAATAAAATATATCTAAAAAAATAGAAAATAAATAAATAAATAAATAAAAAAGCAAAGAGTAGTCAGCCAGCTGTGACCATCTGTTGGGGGAAGGGGGGAGACTATGGGTACATTTAGCGAATTATAATCACTCAGTATGGTTCTAGGCCAAGAATAAATGCAAATATCGTAAAACTATGCGATAAGTGAAAAATAATCTCAGGTTTATGTGTGATCTGAATAACACTGCCTCTATACACAATAGCAATGACCCACCTGTTTCCTTGCCCCTGTCCCATCCCTGTCCCCAGGGAGATGTTGGGGAAACAGCAGGTACTGATTAAAAGGAAAAGACGCTTCCACTAAGGCATCTATCCAATCCCTCCCGAATGCTCTCTGAGGGTCTGACTTTGGCCTGCGTTGCTCAACTTAGCAGGCGATGCTGGGAGGGATTCCTCTCCCACATTCTGAGGAAGAGGAGGACTGGCACAACACAGGAAGTGGTCACTAGATAGTAGGCTGAGCCTGGAAAGGAAACTGCCAACTATGTTCAAGTTACATTTACCTTCAAGCCCCTCCTCCTCTTCCTCGTCTTCATCCTCATCCTCACTCGAATCACTGACCTGCACAGTTATGTCAGTGCTGGTTACAGGGGTCCAGTCAAAATAAACTCCAAAGCCAATGTCATAGTCATCGGTGGCAAACTCCCAGCAGACACGCTTCCCCTCTGGATGGGTAGGAACCCGGATGGTCACCACCTCACCCCGCTTCACCACCAGGCAGCTGTTCTTCTCCTTGCCCAGCTTGCTTTTGAATTCCTTCATCTTGGCAAAGGTCCAGATGCAGGGAGGAGCCATCAGCGGTGGGGAGACTGAAAGGACAGGCAGCTTACTACAGAGGAACCAGGAGGAAATGCTGCCACGCCTGGCATTTGCTTAGGGAGGTTGTCATAGTCAAAGGCATTCTTTCTACTGGCTTTTTTTTTTACTTCCTTTCACAAGTCACTTTCTTTCTTTCCTTCCATCTCATCTGTCTGCCTGCCTTTCTCTTAAGTACCCGCTGGAATCAGAGAAACCACCTCCCAAAGGTCTTACCTTTCCTGTGGTCCCCCAGAAGATCTGCAGATTCCAAGTCAGCCGAAAGAATATCTATAGCTCCCGTGTGCTCAGACTGGATCATAACAATGTCCCCAGACCTCTGTGGAGCTTGATATTTGGCCATCTGGACAACAATTCCGGTTAGAGGACATGTTAGAGTGGCAGATCCCAATTACCTCCACTCTCCCAACTCAGAGCTTAATGTGCTAGTCACCATTCCTTCTCTTTCTTCCAGCTACAGGTTGTTAATAAATTCTAATTATTTTAATGCCACCAAAGTGTTCCCTAATTTAAAGATGTGTTCTCTCCTACCCTTTGGAACTTACCCACTCAAGACACTTTATAGAATCCTTGCCCACAAACATCCTCAGAGCTTGCTCCTAACTTGTGCATCAGCAGCTTCTCTGGGCCATGCCTCGGTCTCAGCTTGGCCTGCACAGTACCTCCCTACAGCGTCACTCATGACAGCTCTTGCACCCAGGGTTTAGCTCAACTCTCATTCCGCCACACAGTCCTCCTGCTACAGTTCCCATTCAAGGGTCCCATCCAGGTCACTGTCAATCAATTCACTAAAGCACTGCAGAGAGAATCCAGTTTGTTGTCTCTTTCTGTCCATCTGTCTGTCTGATCCTATCGGTTGTCTCATCCAGCATCAGTGTTCTATAAATAATTATAATTTCCCCTTAGACCAGCCCCAGGATTTGCATTTACACAGTGTATTTGCTGTCAGACATCTAACCTGCATGGAAGAGTGCAAATGTCACTCGATACTCAAAGCCCTCGACAACCTATGCAGGAGCCTGCACTCTCTCCCGACTGGGTCTCACTTCAAATCACTCAGATTAGGGTTCCTCTGTTTCATGCTATTACGCCTGAATTTCCTGCTCCTTTTCCAAGCAGTCGGCAGGTAACACAAGTAGTGTACCAGTACCTACTGCCAACATGGGAGAACACATCAGTGAGACAGCGGTCCAGTTAAGAGACCAGAATTATATTTGCAAGAAATAAATAAATTTTGTAACCCCCCAAACTATATTCTCATACTACCCGTTTCTGGAGAATAAGTCTTCCAGTTCTTAACTCCATTACTAAATGAAATGAATCAGACTGTGGCTAACTTGCTTAAAAGAATCCTTCCTTTTCCAGAAGGCTAAACAAAGGATTTAGCTTGAAACTGATTAGCTACATAGCCTTAGTAAAGTCACTAATAGCTCTTAGCCTCAGTTTACTCATCTGTAAAGTGGGGATATATGGTACCTATCTCACAGGGTTATTCTCAGGAGTAAATGAAGCATTGTGGATAAAATGCTTTATAAAATCTAACACATTATACAAATGTAATTATAATGTTTGCCATTGTCTTTACTGACACTAATACCATTTGTTATTATAATATACACTAGTGCCGGTGCATGGAATCGTACACACTGAAAGGAAATTAATTAGAAGGTGGCCCATGGGGTAGGACTGGGCGAGATGGGCTGGACATGCCCTGGAGTCAACCTCCTGCGGTCCCTCTCTGGCTGGCCACACCTGGGGCAGCACCGCAGCTCAAAGGGCAGCACCACAGCTCAAAGGGCGTCTGCGCAGTGAGCGGGGTCCCTCCGGCAGGTGGGGTCCCTTGGCCTGGCCTGCGGTGATCAGGCCGAAACCAGCTTTCCAGCATTCCTCAAGGGGTCCCAGATTACGAGAAGGCGGTACTTGGGTGACACACCCTGGAATCGGGCTCCCTTCTCTCTGTTTCCAGGGTGCGTCACCCAAGAACCGCCACTGCCAAGTCACCGCAGCTCAGCAGCTCCTGTGTTTAGCATCTGCCCCCTGGTGGTCAGTGCGTGTCATAGCTACCGGTCGGATGGTTGGATGGTCGCTTAGTCTTTTATATATACAGATGTTAGTAATGATATAAACAACCCATTATTCCATGGCAGAACACCACTGTTATCAATGTCATTTCTATAGAATCTTTACCGTAGATCCACCACAAGACAAGTGAGAGTGAAACACAGTCCAATGGTTTAGGCTCCTCACATTGAGGAGATTCCAGACAACATGTAAACATTCTTTCTAACGCTTCATTTTTTAAATAGGTGCCTACTGATACACTGATGGGCCCTGTGGAAGATACACATGATCAATCGCCAAGTAATTAAAAATGAGATGTCCAAAAAGAGCAAAGAGAATTCTGGGAGCTACCCACAGTGCTTTCTAATTCCAGTCCATCCATATATACCTAGATTCTGGTACTGTAAACTCCTCCTTTTGAAAGAGAGAGTGAGAATGTGCTTCCTACCTTGTTGAGGACCTGGCCCTGGTCTGTAGGTCGCAATTTCTGTTCCACCAAGGTCTGAGCCTCCAAGGCACTGGCTGCTTTCCGAAGATCTTCCGCGGCATCCTCGCTCACTGGAGGTACCATCTGCGGCCTCTCAGAGGAAGACAACATGTTATTCAAGGACTCTTTTAAAAGGCACACTAGCCCTGGAGAAATTCAGCAATAAAACACTCTTCAAAGGACACACCCACACCCCCTGCTTTCCTCTGGCATTCAGGTCTCCTGTCAATTTAGCTGACCGCTGCCCAGGGCTGAACGAGGCCAATATAAAGTGGTGACTGTACATGAGGGCCCACAGACGGACAAAGCCACACCCCAGGCTCCAGGAACCATGGTAAATACATAGCTCAGTCGTCTGAGATGGACTGCAGGTCTGGTTTTATTCCTCTCTCTGGGACCCATGCCATTTGTTCCACATAGAATTTCAACCAGAGATAGAATCTCAGTACACATAAAGTCACCGGTTAAAAGCAAAAAAATGAATTGATCGTCAAGACAAAGAAAATGCAAGCTGATTAGCAAGGCAATCCCTGTCCACAGTTATCCCAGGAACAGGGTTTCAGCATTGCCATCACACAGCCTACCTTTTGCAACCCTGTCACAGATCTCCATATTGCACCCAACTCACAGGGTACTAAAATTGGTCATGAATCACTTTCTTTTCTTTTTAATCTATTATCCTGATGGCTTGAACTATATCTATTTGAATAGTTATTTTAAAGAAGCAAGAAAATAATTATGCTCGCTTCCATCTTCCCTGGCTTCCAGAGAGACTAGAGAGTGCGTGAAGCGCCAGGGCTGCAGCACAACATCCAGGTCTCTTGGGAATGATCGGTTTCCAACAAGAGGAGGCATGGATTCTTCAGAGCAGCAGTTATCAAAGTATCTTGCGGAATCCCTGGGTCCTTAAAACTCTTTCATGGGAATCTGTGAAGTCAAAACTTCTTCATAAAAATTCTAAAATATGATTTGTCTTTTTTCATTGTCATCTTCTCAAGAGCAGACAGTGGAGTTTCCTGGAGGCTACATGTGATATTGCCACAGAATGAATGCAGAAGCAGATCTGAGAACCCAACTGTCTTTTGTTATGCAGACATTACAGAGACTTATGGCATCTCTCTTCCCACTAAATTATTTTTGCTTTGGAAAACAGTTGTTTTTCATTAAAAACATGTTATTTATATTAATATGTAATGAGTTTGTTATTGTTCTTTTTAAATGAATCAGTAATAATTTTTTTTAATTTTTCGGTTTTAATTTCTAATATAGTAAACATAGTAAACCCACATAAATAAAAATTCTTTGGGGCGTAAAGGTTTAAGAACTGCTGCTTTAGGGCATCATTTCCTCTGAGTAAATGACTGGGGAACAGTACTTTTAACCACATGGGAAAGAGAGGGCTTATTTTGGAGCTTGTCAGTTTCTTTTTTCTTTCTTTTTTTCATTTTCTTTCTTCCTTTCAATGCAAACAAGAAAACCCACTCCTAGCTTATAAACTCTCTCTTCTTTAGATAAAACAGAGCCATCTTTTGAAATATCCTAGTCACTCCAACCTCCTTCAGAATAAACAAAAGGTAGTTATTATGAAAATTAGCTATGGATACTGTTGATTTTTATGGGTTTGCTTGAGTAATCCTGTGTAAATTGTAAATTGATCTATGTGTGAGTCTATTTTATCCTCTTAAACCCAGAAATTACAGTCCATTTCTTATTTCTTGACACTAATTAGGTGAGCTTGGTAACAAGGACTGGTCTTACTCCCTCTGTGTGCACAGTGTCTGCACCCAAGCCTGTCACATGGAACCCTAAGGCCCTTTGCACTCTGACGCTAGGAGTTGCACTCTGACCCTGTCTCTCCTAGAATGACCCCCTCTCACCTTGCCCAATCCACTCCAGTCACAAGGGCCTCCAAATGTCTTGAGAATCCCAAACAGTTCAAGCACTCTCCCACTTGAGGGTTTTTCACCTGCTGTCGCCTCTGCCTAGAATCCCCTCCCCCTAGTTACCTTCTGGCTTCTTCCCTCAGGTTCCTGCTCAGCCATGACTTTCGGGAGTCCTCCCAGATGACTGAGTATAAAATGGCTCTCCCCTCCTTGGCCCATCACTCTTTGCCCCCTCTCCCCCGCTTCACTTTTTCTCGCTGCACTCATTACTGCCTGACATATTATGTACCATATTTTGTTGATTGTAAGATGCATATTTGTTTTCACATTTTAACACAACTGAAATATGGGCTGTCCTAAAAATTGGTGATGTCTTCAAACTGCCTGGGGCCTGGGCTGGCATGAGTCCCTCCACAGAAGATGTGCATCTGCTCTGCCAGGGTGCGGGAGCCCGGGAGCACTACCAACGGAGTCGGAGTTGCCTTGAGGTTCTGTTTAAGGGTTTGTTTAGACCAGACGGGCAGAGTGAATTTAGGAAACAAACTGGTGACTACAAACTTGTGGCTCATATATTCAGGGGACATATTTTGCCCTGCCCTCATCAGTGCCAAGGTTGAGACTTTCACGGTTCCCTGTTGTCCTTTGCTGTGTAGGGGATTTCCCGCTCATTTGTCTTTTCACAGAAGGTGCAGGCTTTTGTTGAGCCAGAGCTCCATGTGTGTGTGGGGGTGTGGGGGGTGTCTCTTATTAGACTCACTATCGGGCATTTTTTCTTTCTTGCTGGTACATAAAGTAGCAGTTCATCTTACAACTGATGGCAACTTAGATTCCATGAAATAGATTCTTAATTCTATGGTATACTTGTTTTCTACCTGCCTCCCTCACTAAAATATAAGCTCCATGAGACCAGGGACTTGGACTGCTTGTTCATTTGTGGCATCTTCAGTGCCTAGAACAGTGCCAGGTACACAGCAGGCTCTCAATAAATATCTGTTGCATGAATAAACAGCAGCCCCCCCAATCATTATTTGTTGAATGAATGTTAATTTTTGTTTGGGAACAAAGGAGGAATATTTGGAATGTGAGGAGACAAGAGTTAATCTGACCATTAACCTGCCCTTATAGTATGTGGCATCTAAAATTTAGTGTCTTTGCCTTTGTGCATAATACTTTGCACAAATACGGTTCTGTTTATTTAAAAATATATATTTTACACAGGACATGCACCAGCCACATGAATTTAACATTCACATTAGCATTTTATGCTCTGAAGAATACCAGTGAAGGGTATTTTGGGAAAGATGAATTGCAAATCACTTGATGCCAGTGATAAACCACGTAAAGAAAACACTCCCAGTGTAAGCCTCTGGCTGTGCTGACCCGGAACAGGCAGGCCAACCCAAAGGGAGGGGCCAGCAGGGCCAGCCCAGGGCCAGCCTCACTAGAAAAGATAGAGCGTTTTGCCGTTTCCATTTCCAGTACACACAAAACACAAACACTAAACTTCAGGCACTAATTATCATGATTGCAGAGGTTTTTTTCTTCACACACTAGATTTTAGAAACAAAACTTTAAAATTAAATTTTCTTTTTTCTTAGAATGTTCTATATTCCTCACTCAAAAAAATGTATTTATTCTTAGGAGGAAAAATCAGTTCTGTGCCAAAACCCATCCCCCAAAGATCTTTCAACTCAACAGAAAAAGGGTGGTGGCAGGATGGAAAGTTCTTCTCAGGGGATTTGATGAGAACATGAAATATCTCAAATAATCAAAGCCTGAGGAGGCCGTATCTTCTAAAAGGAGTGTTATATACAGTAACCTAGTAGCTCTAAGCATAGAACTCAAAACCCTTCTATCCATAATTATGAGACTAAGCTTTAGAATAAAAAAAAACTAAAGCTAGGTAAATTGGAGCAAGTTACTGAATTCACTGTTTGATTTTCCTAATCTGAAAATAAACAATAGGTATACTTATTTAATGAGAGTTGCTATGATGATTAAATGAGATCACACATTTTAACACCTGGAATAGTACTGAGCAAATATAAATATCAATAAAAAGTGGCAATTTTATCATTATTACAGAAAAAGATTCAATGAAGTGTGGCTTATATTATTATCAGCAACTATATTAATCATTATCTTTCATCATCTAAATTCTGGGGGGAAGAATTTTATTTCATATACAAAGGTGAGAAGAAAGAACTACTCAAGAAGTCATAGAATTTTGCCCAGCTGGTGTAGCTCAATTGGTTGAGCATCATTCCATTCTGCTTGACAACACTGTGCTATTCCCTGATCGTGGAACTATGATATCCACTAGCGAAAGTTCTCCAAGATACAGTTTTTCATTAATTATTCCATTAATATTTCGTGTGTCCACTCATTCTAGGGCTCAGTACAACTTGCTGCTATATATTCTAATATCACTGATGGTGGGGGGATGAGATGGACAGAGAGGGAAATTAAGAATGATAACTTGAAGGTGATCATAATGGTTGAATCTGAAAATTACATAATAAAACACTGCCTCCAATAGTGTATGTGTATGTGTGTGCATTTTATGAATAAAAACCAAACACATATTTTCTTGAAAGTCCACCTGGGATCCATTTCAAATGTTTTCACATTTGAACATAGTCTTCAGGAGAACATAAATAAAGACACTACACTGTTCATTACAGTTTTATTTTCTGAGAGTAAAAGAACATTTTATAACTTGAAATAGATCTGGCATTGCCCTAAATACACTTAAGGGTTGATTAATTAATGGCAAAACCATTCACTTGTCTTCCCCCTTGATGTCACTGTCCATTTCTTTCATCAATTCCTTATCTCAGAAGAGAAAATCTCTAGAAGCATTTATCCAAAGCAGTTGCTATCCCTACCTGTAGGGTGAGGAATGGGGCTCTGGATCAGAGGCAGAAGCCACTGGAGAGATGACCTTGGTGTTTTCTAGATCTTCATTCTCTAGAAAATTATGGAAAGAAAAACAATATCTAAGAGGGAACACAACCATAATTATCTTGTATCTTTTTTTTTTAAATCTGGCAGTTTCAAACAACTTTCCATTTCCAAAAATATTCTGGGCATAAACTTTATACTCTGGGAGGCTCAGTACATAAATTATTCAAGTCATCACATCCAAGTATTTTCAGATAGTCATAACCCATTTATAAAAAAGTAAGTCTTTTTCCAAAATAAGTACCCACAGAATTAATTCTAATTCAAGAACCACTATTTCTCAGAAAGCAGATGGTTAAAATTAGGCAGGAAATATAGTGCACAGTGAGATGTAGGATGAAATGAACTGTAATTCAGTGCCAAAGTATACAGTGCCACCTCTATCTATATATATAAAAGGCTAACATGCAAATTGTCCACTCAGGAGTTCGACTTGGAGAGCGCGAGTTCAATCACTCGCTATGATGTGCGCTGACCACCAGGGGCAGCACAGAATATGGCAGGATGCTGAGGGAGCGAGGAAAGGAGGCAGCGGGGAGACCAGGCCTAGGGACCCTACCCTGCACGAACTTCGTGCACCAGGCGTCTAGCATTCCATAAGCTCAGATCACTGTATCTAAGATCAGGTAAAAGACTTTTTGTAATTTCATTCATTTACTAACTTGCTCATTCACCAATAACTTACTGAATACTGTTAGACACCTTCAAGGAGTATAGTGAAGTGCATAATGAAGGCTATGGTCCCAAGCTCGCAACAAGCCTATGGCTGGTATTATCATTGCCATTTTTCAGGTAAGGAAAAGAAGGCATAGAGACAAGATTCAAAGCCAGGCAGTCATGCTCATAACCATTAGGTGATACTTGGTTTTGTGGTTTATTCATTTAGCCTTTCCTTGAGCACTCAGATATTAAATAACCCTTGGTTTAACCTCTTCTGGCTAAGACTGAAGCCTAAAGTTCACTTCTCAATTCAAAATTCAATTTACTAAAGCAAACCTCAAACCCTGAAAGTTTCAGAGTTTGGGGGACAACATAAAAGTGCAAATGAGCCCTGGCCGGTTTGGCTCAGTGGAAAGAGCGTCGGCCTGCGGACTGAGAGGTCCCAGGTTCGATTCCAGTCAAGGGCATGTACCTTGGTTGCGGGCACATCCCCAGTGGGGAGTGTGCAGGAGGCAGCTGGTTGATGTTTCTCTCTCATCGATGTTTCTAACTCTCTATCCCTCTCCCTTCCTCTCTGTAAAAAATCAATAAAATATATATTTTTTTAAAAAAGTGCAAATGACAAGCATATATTTGTGATTCAATTTTAATCTAGTCTCAATTTTTCTATGTAAATAAGACCTGTTTTTCTTTTCATCAATCCCCACTCTCATAGATAGAAAAACCTTAGAGCTTATGCCACGCAATTTTCCTCTTGTAAGATAATAGGAAATATATATTAGTCTCTGCCCTTGGTTCCTAACACAGAATTCCCAAAACCCTTATAATTTCTTAAGTGATAAAAGCACTGGGAACATCTTTTGTTCTAATATTTGGTCTTTGATCCCAGTTGCTGACACTGAGTTCCTAAATCCCTAGGCTGGGTGATCGTAGTGTCTTTTGTTCTAATGAGGTGACGCTTGGTGGGCTCCTGGATGGGGGCCCATGCACCAAAGGGCCTCGGGTTGAATTCCCGATCAAGGGCATGTACCTCACCTCAGTTGCAGCTTTGTTCTGCCCCAGTCGGGGAACATGGGGGAGGCAACCAATTGATGTTCTTCTCTCTCTCTCTCTCTCTCTCTCTCTCTTTCTCTCTCTCTCTTTCTGTCTCTCTCTCTCTCTCTCTCTCTCTCTCCCTCCCTCCTTCTCTCCCTTCACTCTCTCTAAAAATCAATGGAAAAAAGTCTCCTCAGATTAACAACGAAAAAAGAATAGTATCCTCTATTATCTTTATTTAGGAGCTTATTGTATTGCCTTTCACATTTTTTAAAAATATGTTTTTATTGACTTCAGAAAGAGGGAGAGGGAGAGGAGATAGAAACATCAATGATGAGAGAGAATCATTGATCGGCTACCTCCTGCAGCATTGGAGATTGAGCCCGAAACCCAGGAGTGTGCCCTGACCAGAAATTGAACCATGACCTCCTGGTTCATAGCTCGACGCTCAACCACTGAACCATATTAGCAACTTTCTCATTTTGAGCTACAGTCCAACTAGATTTTTTTCTTTCCTTCTCTTTTCTCTTAGGATATCCAGTTGCCCCAGCAACATTCACCATTCTTCCCCCACTACTCTACAGTACAATCTTCGTTGCAAATCAAAGCTTTATCCTATTCCTAGGACCTATGACACTGTTGTGGAAAGCTTCAAAATAAGTCTTGATACCTGATAGAGCAAATCTTTCCATCTTCTTCTTACTACTGTCTTTGCTATTTGTGGCCTTCGCTTCTACATATGTTTTAGGACCAGCTTGTCAAATTCCAAAAAGGCCAAAACCTGCTGGGATTTTTATTGGGATTAAATTTTACCTATAAAGTCGGGGAGAATTGACATCTTTTCAATATTGGGTATTTCAACCTAAGAATATGTTATAACCTTCCATTCATTTAGATATTCTTTATTATCTCTCAATAATCCCTTATAATAAAAGCATAATATGCTAAGTGTCCGACCATTCATGAGACCATTCGTTCAACCGTTCCAACCGTTCCACCAGTCGCTATGACGCGCCCTGACCACCAGGGAGCAGGCACTCCGACCGGTAGGTTAGCTTGCTGCTGGGGTCCTGCCAATCGGGACTGGGAGAGATGGGCCAGACATGCCCTGGAGCCCTCCTGCAGTCCCTCCCCAGCCAGATAACCTCCTGTGGATTGCGAGAGGGCACAGGCCAGGCCGAGGGACCCCCACCGATGCACAAATCCATGCACCGGGCCTCTAGTATATTATAATCTTCTGCAGAAAGACTTTGAATACAACTTGTGATATTTATTCCTCATATTTTTACTCTGTGGTAAACAACATTTTATTTACTTTGTTGCTGATATATATATAAATGCAATGGAATTTTGCATACTGGCTCTATATCTAGCAATCTGGCCAAACATTAATTCTAATAACTTACCAGTAGGTTCTATTGGATTCTCCATGTACATAGTCATCATCTGCAAACAACAGATTTAACAGGATTTCTTTCTAATCCTCATATATTTTATTTTTCTTGCCTGACTGTACTAGTTAGAATATCCAGTAAAATAATAAATAGTAAGTGGTGAGAGTGGTTATCCTTATCTTATACCCAATCTTAAGAAGAAAACTCTCAAATTTCACCATTAAGTTTTATGTTGCTTGTAGGATATTTGTAGATATGCTTAATCCAGCATATAATGAAATTTCCTTTTATTACTAGTTTGATAAAAGTTTTGAATCATAAATAGAGGTTGAATTTTACCAAACACTTTTTCTGCATCTATTAAACTGATAATTTTTATACTCTGGTGTATTAAAATGGTGATTTACAGGCTTTAAAAAAATGTTAAAATAACTTTTCATTCCTGGAAAAACCCAACTGGGTCTTATATAATGTTGGATTCAAAGTTAATATTTTATTGATGACTTTTTGCATCTATGTTAATGAGTGAGATTAAACTGGGATCTCATCTGGGATAATTTTGATGCTGCCTGAGTTAGTTATTCCTCGGGTACAGGTATGAAGATGATAAAACCTGTATTTGATTGTCTGAAAATATCTTTATTTCATCTTCATTCTTTTTAAAAAAATGTTTTTATTGATTTCAGAGAGGGAGAGAGAGATAGAAACATCAATGATGAGAGAAAATCATCGATCAGCTGCCTCCTGCACACCCCTTACTGGGGACGAGCCCACAATCTGGACATATGCCCTGACTTGCAATCGAACTGTGACCTCCTGGCTCATAGGTCTATACTCAACCACTGAGCCACGCCAGCCAGGTTCATCTTCATTCTTGAAGACTTTTCACTTTACCGGGGGAAAAAAGTTCTGTATCAATAGTTTTTTCTTTCACTATTTTATTTTATTTTTTAAATATATTTTATTGATTTTTTACAGAGAGGAAGGGAGAGAGATAGAGAGTTAGAAACATCGATCAGCCACCTCCTGCACATCTTCTACTGGGGATGTGCCAGCAACCAAGGTACATGTCCTTGACCGGAATCGAACCTGGGACCTTTCAGTCCGCAGACTGACGCTCTATCCACTGAGCCAAACCGGTTTCGGCTAAAGATAATCTAGCTCTCACTGCTCTGTACAGAAATCAGCTTTCAGTGTAATCACTATTCCTTTAAAGGTAAACTGAGGGACATCTGTAATAATCTGAACAATAAAGATTTTTTTTTAAAAAAAGGTAAACTGAAATTTTTCTCTGGCTACTTTTAATATTTTCTCTTTGGTTTTACAGCAGTTTTACTTAATGAATATCTACTGTGTATTTCATTGTACTGATACTGCTTGAGGTACATAGAGCTTCTTGAATCTGTAGATTGCATTAGTTTTGGAAAATTCGCAGCTATTCTCACCAAACATTGCTTCTATCCATTCTTGCTCTGAGTTCTCACCTTCTAGGATTTCAATTATACATATATTAGACCTTCTCACATCCTCTATCTCTTATCTCTCTCCTGAATTTTCAATGATTTCATTTTTATATATTTCCTTCTGGATATGTTGTTCTGACCTTTCTTCCAGTTCACTATTCTCTCTTCAAGTGTAATAGCTTGTTGCTAAACCCACTTGAAGTTCTTCATTTTTATTCAGTTATTGAATTTCTATTTGGTTCTATTTTTATAAATTTCAATTATCTGACAAATTTCTCAAAGTTTTCTCTCCTTGAACATAATAAATATAATTATTTTTAAGTCTGTATGTGGTAACTCCAAAATCTGGTACCTGTATTAATCCACTTTTACTGTTTGTTGTTCACATATCTCTTCTCGTGCATCTAGTCATTTTGATATGTGGCAGAAATTGTCCTTGCAAAACTATTTGTAGAAATAATTTGAAGCCTACAACGATCCTTCAGAGATTTGCCTTACTTCTT